ATCCATCATATTTTAGTGCTTAGTAGGAACATCAAGGGTTTGGGGTGAGCCCAAATCAATGTGATATTTGTTGACACACTGTCTGATTTAGTTGTTTATGGGAATGCAGTGGACATAATGTACCTTGACTTCAGCAAATGTTTGACAAATAAAGCGGGCTTTGCACGGTCTGCTGGACGTAGAGCTCCCAGAGGGAGGGATTCGCTCGAACCTGGATTCCCCACGGGGGAGGAGGAATTCCCCGGGGGGGGGGAAGCATTCCTCTCTTCACCTTCACTAGGTGCGGTAGAAGGTGTCCTTGGCAATGCTACAATGATTAAACAGGAGAGAGGGAAATGTCAAAATTCATGGTGGCATGATTGGTGTCCCCCCCCCCCAGAATTAGCATCCCACCTCCCACCCCATTCCCTTCTTCCACCCACTCACTTGAGAAGAAAATCGGGGGCAAAGGAAATGGATGCTGCTGGTTCTCGGGGGAGGGAGGGCGCGGCCAGGGCCAGATAGGTCCCCAGCCAGGCATTGCAACCCAGACTGTATTGCCACTCAAACCACTCTTGTCAGTGAGAAGGACCTGGGGAACCTGATCAACAGATTTGCTGCGTTTCTTTGTGGGGGAAGTGGCAGAAACGGAGTCTCCTAGACTCACAATGCCAGCCTCTCCCGCAGGAGCTGCCCCGAGAGAGGCAAACCATTGGGGCGTCCTTTCAAGACCCACTTTGGGGGGAGAGAGAGAGAGAAAAAAAGAAGAGGTGCTCAGGGCCCTTCCAGTTAGGGGGCGCAGCAGTTCAGTCCCTGCATTTCCTTACCGGGTTGCCCCCCAATCATTTGCCGCGGATCCAACCTTCTCACGCAACAGCCAGGTTGTCTTCAACTGCTCTTTTCCGCTGTTATCCACCAGACACTGGCCCACAAAGACTGCGGTGGATTCTGTCAGATCAAAGTTGTTGTATCAATTGGGGGGGGGATATAGTTCGCATAAAGACACCCCCCCCCCGCTAACCGATGCTATCTTGAGATTGGGAATGTGTTACTGACGTTGTTGATCTCCATGGTGGAGTTGAGGTCATTCTTCCAGCTGCCGTTCAGGGAGCACTAAAGGAGAGCGGGAGAGGGGAGGAAAGCGGCTCACGGCACATCCCAAAGTCCGTCGGTCGAGGCGCTTGCCAGACCGCGTCCGGGACGACACCCCGCGGGCGGATCGCTCTGCCATCTGCGCAGCGAGCGAGAGAACCAGCCCCGGCGGCAGGCTGCCGAAGTCGCGGACGAGCACGGAGGAGGACACGCTCGGCCGCCCGGCCGTCGGAGATCGAGGGCCTCTTACAGCGACGGCACCGGGTGCGATCAACCCCGAGGAAGCGGCAGCCTCTGCGCAGACCACCGGCTCCCACCAGCCGCTCCTGTCGCCCACCCGGGTAGAGGCTGGTGGCGGGGGGGGGGACTTTTCACGGGGGACGCTGGAGCCCTCCGCCCGTCACCCCGGATCTCACCTTGGCGGCTCGCTCCGAGTTTTGGGGTTCGGCAAAGGTTCCCGAACAGCCGAGCAGGAAAGCGAGGAGCCCCAAAGCTGCCAAGCCAATCGCCATGGTGTTCTCCAGGAATCTAGACGTGCCAGCCCCAGGCGGGACGCCCCTTATAAAGCCCCGCTCGCACCCGCCCTCCCCCCCCCTTTCAGCTGCCGCCTCCCTCCACCACCCCCAGCGGCTGGGAGGGGCAGGATCCCCTTCCGAGGGTCGGACGCCTCTGCGAAATCGCTGGTCCTGCTGCGAGCGCTGAACAGCACTTGGGCAGCAAGAGGGGCGGGGGCACTTCTTCTCGGGCACCCACCGCCTCTGACCCAACATGGCCACTCTTACTCCCCTCCTCCTTCTCCGCTTCCGCGGCCACTGCCACCTTCCAAGACTGAGACTACAACGCCGGAGGCACCGAGGCCGGCGCTCCGTGGGTTCCGCTTCCATGCTGGCTCTGCTGGATGCAAGCAGGAGAGGCGACCGGGCGGGCCGCGTGGTCCGGGCAAGGGCGCGGGGAGGGCTCGGTGGAAGGGAGCCGGTCAGTGGCCAAGACGGCTCACGCGCGCCTGGCCATGGATCCCTGGGCAGCCGGGCTCTCCGACGGGGGAGTCGAGGGAACCCCCTCCGTCTGGGTGCTCTACGTCCAGCAGATCGTGCAAAGCCCTCCGGTAGGCTTTCTGCCGCTGGCTTGCGCGCCTTGTGGTGCCAACGCCAAAGCCGCCTTGCCCGAGACGACCGCCGGCCTCGCGATCTGCCGGCCTGCGGAACAATTAGACTCTTTCCCGTCGCCCCGAGGTGCTTTTTCCTGCCAATACGGTGAAGAGGGCATGGTGAATTGGCGGGCCGGGGGGGGGGCCGCAAGGGGGAATGGGGCAGACGGGTGTGGAGGTTGACCAGGCGTTTTAACCCCGCCCCACACAGTACCTTCGTGGGATTCCCCGTCGGGCAGAAGAGCAGCCGCGGCCTGGAGGCCTGGATTCCCCGGCGGGGGGGAGGAAACCTTTCCAGGGCAACAGAAGCCTTGTTTTATGGGCATAGAAACCGCCAGCTGGGTTCCGGCGTTACTGCTCCGCTCCTCCCGTCTCTCTTCCGGCCGCCGGAACCCAGTATGCCCGCCTGGCTCCTTCCGAATTCAGCCCCTACTGGGGCACAGACGGCACCCACAGGAATGAGGAAGCTGGGGAGGACCAGCCCTGCCCCGCGCCCCACAGCAGCTCTGTGAAGCTTTGGGGAAAAGAGGGCAGCCTGGGGAGGGCAGCAGAGACCGCCCTGAGAAGGTCCAGAGGGAGCTCCGAGGTGCTGAACTCGGCCTGGGATTCTCGGTTAAGTCCAGGATAGCATTTCCTCTTGTTCTTTCTTCCATTAAATGAAGTTGTCAGCAAGGGAGGACAAGGATGCCCGGATAATTGCCCACCCCTTATCACTCTTGCCCG